CGAGTTTGGAATTTTGTCCGTCGCCATCTTGTTTTTTTTTTGGAACCAGAAGTGACCATATTTGGACGAGAGGCTAGAGCTAGCTAGCTTGGTTAGCAAAAAATGGGCTGTTTTGCATAACGTGCATTGGCGCGTGAGACCTCGCTTTGGACTCATTATCACTTTTTCAGGATGATGACTGAATCAAATACCGAATTATTAATGATTTTAACAAGTTATTAACAAGTTTTTGATATTATTGTGGACAAATTAAGTGTTAATAAATCGAGTTATAAAAAATATCTTTAAAATAATTAGTAATTCATCATCATCAGTCATTAGATCAGTTGACTAAGTCTGTCTTAGTCTAAACTAAGTCTAGACTAAGTCAGTCTTACCTAAAAATCAAGCTAGCAAGGGAGAGGAACTAATGAGTATTGTCCTTAAAATGTGTTCTTGGTCAACCCTTAACTTCAAAGTCACTGAATCTGCCTGCGTCGCGTTACGGCTGCGCCGCAGTTGACGGAGGTAATCGTGGCCATTCTAGTCAATGTGCGTCCCTGAAGTCTCCCAGACGCGTCTCTCTGCTCCGCTCCACACAGAATAAGTAGCTACTCTATTTTTGACGGAAGCGTCAAGCAGCACAGAGCTGATCGAACCAGGCAGGAAGTAAAACACTCAATTTTCAAAATAAAACACCCTCTGACTCCCGATCATAATACAACACTAAACACTGTTAAAACAGACAAAAAAGAAACCATTTAACGACGTATCCTACTTAATCATAGATGAAGCACAAAAATGAAGCACTGATTACCAAATCAACAAACATGTCAGCAAAATCAGGAAGGCAAAATGCTCTGATTCTGAAACGCGACACAGACGGACTCAGTGGAATTAGAGTTAGACTAAGACATAGGTGTCTGTACTGCACACACTTTACCTCTGAGGCCTCTTCACTTTTATTTCCTTGCATGGCTCACATAAACCCCCTGCAGTCCAATGAAAAGCATCAGTAAGAATGAAATTTACCCCCTGACTTCAGTATTTACACTATCATTCCTCCGTGCTGAAATCTCTCCAGCCTCTCTGTAGCCTGGATGAATCAAGTTGATTGATGTCTATGTTGTGTCTGAGATGCTCTCCTGAGTCCCTTTCCATATGCTTGATACAACCAAAGAAGTCTGCCCGCAACGTGCGCATACTTACAGAGACAAAGAAGTTTCAGAGGAGTTAGAAATGTTTTATCATCGCTAGGGCCAGAGACCTACTGCTCAAAGACTTGTCAGAGTAGTTTTCACATGCTAGGATTGGTGTGACTGGTGTGATTGTTAGGATTGTGTAGAATTCAGAACTGTTTGAAAAGCTGAAAACTATACTGGTCCACAATTTCCGTGTGAAGAGAATTTGAAGTGGTTTTTGAGGCATATTCCTGGCCTGTAGTGCACATATCTATGCCATCTGTCAACATCCACATTTAAACTGACTGATTTAAACTGCCATGACCGCTATTTTTCGCGGACCTTAAAGAGCCCATGTGTAGTTTTCAGTTCAGGTTTGAGATTGAACTAATGAGCGAGCCAAAACAGAGACAGACATACCGGAGACAGCAACACACAAATGCTGGAAACTCAGGTAAACTCCCACTTAGTTTGTCTCCCTGTGACTTTCTTCAGAGTACATACACTCACCTAAAGGATTATTAGGAACCCCATACTAATACTGTGTTTGACCCCCTTTCGCCTTCAGAACTGCCTTAATTCTACGTGGCATTGATTCAACAAGGTGCTGAAAGCATTCTTTAGAAATGTTGGCCCATATTGATGGATAGCATCTTGCAGTTGATGGAGATTTGTGGGATGCACATCCAGGGCACGAAGCTCCCGTTCCACCACATCCCAAAGATGCTCTATTGGGTTGAGATCTGGTGACTGTGGGGGCCATTTTAGTACAGTGAACTCATTGTCATGTTCAAGAAACCAATTTGAAATGATTGGAGCTTTGTGACATGGTGCGTTATCCTGCTGGAAGTAGCCATCAGAGGATGGGTACATGGTGGCCATAAAGGGATGGACATGGTCAGAAACAATGCTCAGGTAGGCCGTGGCATTTAAACCATGCCCAATTGGCACTAAGGGGCCTAAAGTGTGCCAAGAAAACATCCCCCACACCATTACACCACCAGCAGCAGCCTGCACAGTGGTAACAAGGCATGATGGATCCATGTTCTCATTCTGTTTACGCCAAATTCTGACTCTACCATCTGAATGTCTCAACAGAAATCGAGACTCATCAGACCAGGCAACATTTTTCCAGTCTTCAACTGTCCAATTTTGGTGAGCTCTTGCAAATTGTAGCCTCTTTTTCCTATTTGTAGTGGAGATGAGTGGTACCCGGTGGGGTCTTCTGCTGTTGTAGCCCATCCGCCTCAAGGTTGTGCGTGTTGTGGCTTCACAAATGCTTTGCTGCATACCTCGGTTGTAACGAGTGGTTATTTCAGTCAAAGTTGCTCTTCTATCAGCTTGAATCGGTCGGCCCATTCTCCTCTGACCTCTAGCATCAACGAGGCATTTTCGCCCACAGGACTGCCGCATACTGGATGTTTTTCCCTTTTCACACCATTCTTTGTAAACCCTAGAAATGGTTGTGCGTGAAAATCCCAGTAACTGAGCAGATTGTGAAATACTCAGACCGGCCCGTCTGGCACCAACAACCATGCCACGCTCAAAATTGCTTAAATCACCTTTCTTTCCCATTCTGACATTCAGTTTGGAGTTCAGGAGATTGTCTTGACCAGGACCACACCCCTAAATGCATTGAAGTAACTGCCATGTGATTGGTTGATTAGATAATTGCATTAATGAGAAATTGAACAGGTGTTCCTAATAATCCTTTAGGTGAGTGTATATATATATAAACGTATTATTTTGTTTATTTTTTGTTGTTACGGAAGCACAGAATGTAAGTGCATGTCGGTGGTCAGCTTGCCACTGGCTATCGTCTTTGCTGTATTTTTTTTATTTACAGAACAGCACATCAAGCAGTTGGTGTCAGAGCTAGTCCTTTGAAGTTGGTGTGTCAACCCTATTTTCAGAAATGTCTGGATCTGAAACATGTCATTCAGGGCTTAGTCTTGGAACAAGGTAGGATTAGGTGAAAAGAGAGATGGTCTTTTCATAGTTTTCAGTCACGTGACATGTGCAGTGACCTGGAGGGCAAAACAACAGACCAACATAGCGGCTCACACCGTGACTCCACCGTAGAGACACCGCGGGTGTAGTACAAACCTTGTCAGCGAAATTTGAGGGCAAAAAAATAACAACAAAAATCAGTATTCAAAAACAAAATAATTGTTCAATAATCGTAATTGAGGTGAAATTTTCAATCAATTGTGATTTTGATTTTAGGTAAAATCGTCCAGGCCTAGTCTTTAGGTTTAGGGTCAGGGTTAACTCAATTAAAAACCTGTGATTCAATGTTATTTAAATCAGCAATTTCGTTGTCACTTAATATAATAGAAATTATAAGACAGTTTACAAAATCACAAATGTTAATAAAACTTCAACAGCATCAGTAACCATTAAACACTTTAATTTAGTTGTTGTCTAATGTAGGCCTTCCGATCATTCTCTCAGTCAATTTGTAGGTAAACAGTTTCCAGTTGGTTATTTTTAACCTCAGTGATCTTTTAAAGAAGCGAGAGACTGTGAACTCAGGCTGTCCATTCAGAGTTACCTTGCCACTCTGTTTTCTTTCTTATTTCTTTTTAGAAATAATCTACGCACCTAAGGGAACTGGGCAAACCATGTTTAGACTTCAAATCTTGGACGTCCATATATGGTCCTGGCAGCATGTCTAAAACCACCTTTCCATTGGCATTTGCTTGTAACCACTACATCATATTAGGTCCCTCTTTAATAGTTCATTTTTGCACCTATTAGCAAATGTTTAGGTAGCCCGGGACGTCTTACCCAGTGGTTTTCCCTGCCTCTCAGGTTTAGAAAACATTCCTCCGGGTGCTTGGCTTTACGCCATGCGTCTGCACTCTGGTGTGAACAGCTGACAACCACAGACAAAGCACTGAGCACTGGAGACAGAGGTTTGGACCTGACACAGGGATGCCAAGAACCGCACAGGGAAGAGATATTAAAAGATTGGGAGAAGTGAATTAAGTTTAAAGAAAAAAGCTAAATGTACCTAAAGAAATGTAAGATTGTTGTACAGTAGTTAGAAAGATTAAATGTGTCAGGTACTTTGAGATGTGATGCAGTGTCTCTGTCAAAGTTATGACTCATATCCTCTTCCTGTCAGTCTGTACTGAGGGCTGGGTTTTATTAGGGTGGGGAAGAACTTGGCGAATGTGGAGAAAGGTAGATAAGCTTTTGTATTACAGTACTTCTAAAGGTTACTACTTCCTGATCTTGGTGTGAAAAGATATTTAGATCTCTTTTTCTTTGCTTTAGGTGCTAAATTTCCTAAGCATATTTTGCTAAACCTCAACAATAATAACTAAGAAGAAAGAAAGAAAGGATAAGGAGAAAACCAGAGAGGAACGCAGGCACAGGACCTGAAGGTGGCATGCTTGCTGTTTGTCTGTTTCGGAATAAAGCTTGGTAAGCTGATATGCCAATATCCACCTCTCAGAGACTTATAATGAAGAATTGGAAGACATCCCAGAGTTTTGTTTGCTGACTTCTGTCTCTCCCAGACTTTTTTTCTTTATTCCTGCTCACGTTTCAGAGGCGCCACTGGATTTAGGAGCAGTGGAAGAGGAGGAGAAACCGATAGAGAGGGGTAGTTGGAAGTATATAAGTGCAGGGAGGAGACACATCACAAGTTTTTCAATATTGAAAATTACATAGTAGATATTTTGTCATTGTTTTGACTGGAGCCTCACCAGTCGAATGTGACGAGCTTGAACTTGAAAGTGATTTAACACTTTCTAATGGATGAAAGAATAACCAAAGTTGGTCTGCTCTCCCTCCCCCTCCTCTTGGTTTGCACCTTGTTTTCGGCGGCAGTGGGCAACCACACAGGAAGGATCAAGGTGGTCTTCACACCAACCATCTGCAAATTAACCTGCATAGGAGGCAGGTGTCATAACAACTGCGAGCTGGGGAACACCACCACCATCATCAGTGAGAACGGTCATGCTACAGACACCCTGACAGCACCCAACTTCAGAGTAGGTAAGTGATCCAGAGTTGTGTTGCTTGTTCTGTTTCAGGACAGATCAGCACTGACTTGCGCACACACACACACACACAGACACACACACACACACAGACAAAATGCTCTCTATGGTTGGTACTTCTGGCTGGCTGTGATATTGAAGCTGTTGATGGAACACATTTGTTGACATCAAACTAAACTTACTTAACTGTAAGAAAGCATTTTGCTTAAATGAATAAGAATTGGCTGTTCTAATCTCTTCTAATCTCTGGTGTATACTTGTGCAAAATTGTTGTGCTACAAAGGAAGTGATCTGTTGTTGAAAATGAGCTGAATATTATATATAATAATATTGTTTCCATTCTGCTGTGATCTGTAAACACCAGGCCGCTAGTTTAGCTCTAATGTCATTCAAAGTGCAATAGACAATCTGACCTTTTGTCAAGGTTGTTGCTGCCAAGTTATCACTTAAGTCTTTGAAACCGCATTAGTCTGCAGAACCCTTCATCTCCATGGAGTGTTTTAGCATCTTTTAGCTACTTGTTCTTGCAATATTTACTTATTTTTAGTTTCTAAGTGTAAAAATAAACAAGATGGAACGTATTGATAAGACAGCTTTGGAGTTGTTGGATGGTATTTCTTTTTAACTTTTAATTCTACTAAGTTAGCAGTTTCCCCTAGCTTCCAATAGGCTAACTGGACAGACAGACATTATTCTAAATTGACACTGATGTTCTCATCTGACTTTGGGTACAACTGAATTCAGCCATTTCCAAATGTTGTGTTTGAAATGTGTACTCACAAACATGTAAAAGAAAAAGGTTTTAAAAAAAGTGTTTTTCAGTTTTTTCTTGACTAAAAAAACGTCATCTTGAGCTCTGTACAAGGTTAATGAACTTGTAACATGACAGTCAGTTTTCTTGAACATCCCCAAAGAGTTGGAAGAGTACGATATTTATACCCTTCTTGACTATATATTAGTTTAATTTGAATTACAGCGTTTACAGCTTCCTTTATAAATCTAGATATATGTATGCTAGGAAGAAATTGTAGCATGATTAGATTGATGTGTCAGGTACTAAATCAAAAGCGGAGGGTAAATGTCCTTGAATTGAGTGTATAAGATTGCAACCTCAAACATATCATGAAACAGCTTCTGTGTAATGGAGCAAATGACGTGGGTGTTCTTTAATGTGTTGCACAGACTCCGCAAGCTGTGTCTGAACCTGCCTTGGTCCTTACAAGGAGCAGATCAGTATCTCCGTCTCTGACACATGCAGAAACATGGGAAGAGCGGAACAAGATGAATTCCTGTCTGACTCAGCTGAACAAATTAGTATAACTGGAGTAAAACCAGCTCAAATAGGAAAAAAGAAACACCAGACTGTTAACTTCAGATAACCTGGGGGGTGGTTTTCTTGTTAACTGGGATTCATTTGTTGAAATGTCTTCACTCGGGGCAGTTAAATACATTTTGCTTCAAGATTTACGAACTTTGACGTGAGAATTTGAGCCAACTACCACTAAACAAATGTCTTTACTGTCATGACCTCTGAGAAGGTGGTCACACTGGAGAGTTCAAAGTGGAAAAAGCTATTCTCTTGATAATTTAATTTAATTGACTTTTTCTCTGGAAGAATAAAAATGGCAGTGAAAGAGACCTTTGGCACGGTTTGCCATCAGTCATGATGATGAAATTTCATATCACGATTATAGTGACCAAAATTATCACGGTTATCAGTATTATCATGGTATTGTGAAAATGTGCCAAAAAATATTAAGATGTACTGATACACACTGAAACCATTTCAACAAGTTTTATATTGACAACAACAAATACAATTGCCATTTTGTTTTATGTTATATTATATAGTTAATACAATGACCCCGTGGACAATTACATGAAAACAAATAAGTCTTTAGAAGACAGTGATAGTAACTACAGGGAGCCCAACAACTGACATAAATACAGAGCAGTCTGTAGCGTTTCTAGATGATTCTGGTTGGTTGACTGAACAGTGTAACGTGTTATGTGCAGTGGACGAATAGACTCTGCAGACACACGACGCACACAGCAATGTGTAGCGTTTTTGCATGAGCAGCAACACTGAGAGCTTCAGTTTACAAGCTATTAGCAAGTCAGAGACAAACCAAAGCTAAAAGTTAACTCACCCTGCGTTCACTATAAGGTCATTTTCTTCATTCGAGTTTCCCTCAGCACTCTCATAAAAACTAAAATACGACCAGACTTCAGAGTGACTGAAAAATCTCGGCGTTGTCTTCCGCAGTGTTGTCATTGACCCAAACAAACCCACGTTGCATTCTGAGCATGCGTGCCTGCTTCTGGGAGACGCTGGACAGTGTTTGCCATGAGATTATAATAGCTCGGTAATAATAACCGTCGGGAATTTTACCATGGTTTACCGTTAAACTGGTAATCGTTTCATCTCTAGTCATGATACAGAATTGAGTGTAACTTGTTTGTTCTTAATCAGTGTATGGTTCGTTCTTTCATTATTTCGTTTATTTGTTTTTTCTGTTTTAAAACCATAACGGAAAAATGGAAAAACGGTAAACAAAAAAACAGACATCTGTTTAGTTTCTTGTGTTTTAAACACATAATGTAAAACAGAGGAGGTGCGTTTTGTTCTATCTTTGACCGGTGTTAAGTCCCTACAACTCGTTCTCACTCCCCGACTCGTCACATGGCATGGTCAAGGCCTATCGGGGTTTGTAACGCACTGGGGATCCCTCTAGCATCACAGGTCAACGCCCTGTAGCGCCAGTTTGTGACGGTAAAGGCAGGTAAATGATATTTAACAGAAAAGACTGAGTGACAACATGGTTGGGGTGAAAGGAGGGCCAGGACCTTTGAATCGGGAGACTTCTTCGGGAGTGTTCTTGTATCTTGTTAAAAAAAAAAGTCAATATTAGGCTAAATATTTTTACATTTAATTTTATATAGGCCTAAGGCTATTTCTTTTCGGGGCTCATCGCATATCATCAACTGTGACGAATATGATTGTAGAAGTGCACTATATTAAAGAGCCTCGAACACTCAAAATTCCTCGACAGCATCAAGTAAGCATTTTGTTTTGGGCGGATCTGAAGCAGCTGGTTACCTGAGCATCTAAGAAAATACCCGAATATCAAGGGTTTTTTCTTGAGGCTAAGGCCAGGGTGGGACCTCCTCTCCCTCACCCTGTATGCTCCAGCCCCCCGCTCCCCCTCCGTTCACCTTACAATGGGTTGTGCTGCCAGTGGAACCGTCGCACTGGACAGTCAGTGGTCGTTCCCTCTGGCTGGGTGAAGTCTGACCTCCTGATTTTAGCATAATCCATGTGTTCCTGCAGCTGGAGGCTAAATTCTTCCATCTCAGAAAGAAAATAAAGGTCGGATCGAAACAGTGTAGAGAGGCAGAACAAAAATTAACGAACATTTTAATCTGTGTATGATTCGTTAATTTAAAGCTCGCCGAATAAACTAATAACAGTTCATGTTTGCTGTGTACCAGTGGATGTACTGAAAACTATCACTGAATTAATTTGAGAAATCTTAAAAACCGGAGGATTCTCAGGAAAGCTTTCCTGTTCCAGTTGCTAGTGAGTTACAAACTAAATATATTAATCAATATTAAATAGCTGCAGCCTCCGGTACTGCAGCTATATAATATTGTCCTGTTTGTCAAACTAAAAACCCACTTATGTTGATGTTCAAGCTCATCTTACATTAAAATCAGGCACCGCCCTCGCCCAAGTGTATCTGCTGCAGGTTTATCAAGTGTAACACACAAAGCTACACAAATCGGACTCATTAAATATCAAAATCACTATTTTCCGTTTTGGTTTTAAAACAGAAAAACAAAAACCGATGTCTGTTTTTTTGTTTTCTGTTTATCAGTTTTGGTTTTAATATGAAATAATGAAAGAACGAACCATACACGGATTGTTTTAACAGAGCAAACCAGGGATGATGTCTTTCCGTCAAAACCTGGAATTTAGCTCAGCTGCAACATGGATGTATTATGTGAACGGGATGCTGTTACAAGATACTTTACAAAATTAAAATTACAAAAGTTGCTCACTTGGCACATAACCCTAACAGGACTAACGGCCCTATTTTAATGATCTAAGTGTGTGGCGTGAAGCGCATGACGCCGTTGTGTTTGGGGCGTGTCCAACTCCAATGTTGCTAGTTTAATGGTGGACAAAACGGTCATTGCACCAGGCACATGTTTCAAAAGTGTTTTGGGCGTAACATGCAATAAACCAATCAGTGTCTTCTCCCATTCACTTGAAAATTCAGGGGCCCTTGTACCTTATAATGGCGGAAGAATGGCACAAAATAAAACCCATCAATTGATTGATTGAATTGCAGACTCATAGCAGAGGGATGTGATATGAAAACTGTCTCTGATCATGAAGCCTGATGTTCCTCCACAGCTCTGTGGTTTATCAGAGAAGTGTCTGAACTCCACTGCAGACTGGAGTCTGTTAACAGACAGACGCTCCTCTGTGAAACGTCTGGATCCTCACTGTGCTGCATTATTATAAACTATGATGAAGTGGTCGTGGGTCACATCTCTCTCTGTTCCAGTGGTTTCTTTGTGTGTTACATTGTAGCGTTTGGTACGCTGAGTGTTTTCTTTAACGATTTACTTTCATGAGCCTGCTGTCAGTCATTTTAATTGCTTCTATGTGCTCAGAAAACTCACAGCAAATATTGCGGGGCATTTCAGCAGCAAAACAAAAAACTGTAGTTATAAATGTGGCATTACAGGACAGAGGACACTCTGTAGAGGAAACAGAATTCAACTTTTAGACGCTCTGATGGAGCTCAGTATTTATCGGGAGGACAGCTGCTTTACACCAGACAGTTTCACTGAAGAAGAATACAGAACCTAAATTAACATTAGATCCAATGCTTAGAGGTAAATGCTAACATCAACATGGTAACATGCTCACAATGACAAGACAAGCTGATGTTAAGCAGGTATAATCACCCTTTTCACCATCTT